GGCCAGATAGCTGAGTTCGTTGGAGCGTAGTGTGCCCGCGTCCGTGCACCACACGGCAAGTCGGGGTCGAGGGCACCGTCGTGCTGAAGGGCACGATCCAGAAGTGAAGGGTGCCGGCCTTGGTGAGATCGACTGCCAGTCATAGGCAGCGCTGCAGACTTCGTGTATGTTCGTGTGAAGCGCCAGGCTCGCGCCGCGAGTTAGCAGGCTTAAATGAGCGACGCAGCTCTCGTAGAGTTGTATCTGCTCCGGCAAAGCGACTTGAAAAAGGACTCGCTCATATCCGTCCAGAGTCGTAGCCTGGAGGTCCGGAGCCCCTCCAGAGGGTCAGAAGGTGATTGAACCCAGCGGGTTCTCCAGATCCTCTGCAAGAAATGACTTGGACACACGACGGAGGACTTCTTGCGTTCTAGTTTCCGTCTCAGTCTCGTCGTTCCTGGCGCACTTCCATCTGAATTGTGGGCATTTGATGTGATACTATTTATCCAGTGCAAGGCAACCCAGTAGCCTCTCGTGGGTTAAGGTCTAGCTCGCCCTGGGTGGCAGAATCCCATGAATCGATTGCTTCTCTTGAACACATTATTCTTGAATGAGTTTCGTTCATCTGAACCAGCACAAGCAAAGTATGTCTGGATCTGGATTTGAGTATCTGTGCTACTGTGCTACCATTGATATTGCCTGTTATGAGTAGTCGCTCATCGGCTAGATCACGTAGTGCCTTCTAAAAAGTCTGAGTCCGGAGATTGGGCTGGTTGATGGACCGTCTGCTAAAGGGGAATCTCAGCAAAAGGGTGATGGGCGCGACCTTAACACCCGGAAATCCTTTGCAACTTTCGTCCCCTCTCAAGCTTCCCCCTCGTACTCAGATGGAGCTGCACTTTCCAAGATTCCACGGAGTCGCGAAGCGTCGTCAACCGCAGCTGTCCCCAATAGACCTACAAAGGAAGTGGCAGGTGATTTTGCCATGACCAGCCAGGAGCAGAACCCACACTCCCTAAACCCTAAACCCTAAACCCTAAACCCTAACCCTAAACCCTAAACCCTCTCAGCGACCTGACCATGGAAGTATCATGAAGTCTGAAGTTCTCACGTCCAAGCACAGGTCAGCGGCTAGCGCAGATCAAGTAGGTCCCTAGTCCCACCCGGACCCAAAATAATAGTAATAGTAATAATAATAGTAATAATAATAGTAATAATAATAATAGTAATAAGTAAAGGTAATAATAATAGTAATAGCCCTTAATCCACAGACCCCAGAAGCGGCTTTTGCCGCTTTTGCCCGCTTTTAGCTCCCAGCCTTGGCCCTGAGAATGGGCTTCGAGCTTCTCGGGAATGGCTTCTGCATGGACTCCCAGTGCCTCAGCTAAGAGCCGTTTTGGCCAATTGGGGCCTTTAGGATTTAGGCCCTGGAGGGTTTTAGGGTTTAGGGATATTTTAGGGCCGTGAAAGCTAGGAACATCTACTACGACAGCTTCACCGCCTCCACGGGGGAGAACGGCTACGATGGGACCCTGGCCATGTGCGAGAGCCGTTCTGCGTCGAATCCTCAAAGCCCCGGCTTTGCCTTCAGCGACACGAATGCCTGCACCATCTACATGAACAATGGGCAGGTGCGGAAGTCTTAGGAATTTTGGAGTAGTGCGAGGTTTTGCCCCTTGGGTGCCGGTCTCTGCAGTGGGATTTGGTATGGGTCCCGGCACTTTGAGGGGAATTCCTCCAATGCAGGTTTTTGGGTAGCAACTTCAGGCAACCTTGCCCGCCCAGTGGGATCGGACTTGCACGCTGCACGGGGTATCTCGGGGTCCATGACGAGCGGCCAGGTACCAATCGGCTTCGAGGTTCCCATCTCCGGCACCGTCACCACGAACTATGGAAGTGGGCCCATCAACAAGGCCTCTCTGCTCTTCATCCCTGGGCTCGGGGCTACAAATGAGAGGAGGAGACCGGTGCAGGTCGCTTTCAGGTCTGTCTGGACCTACAGCCAACACATCTTAGCCTTCGACAAACGGGGTGGGCGTGCGAACTCTCCTGGCTAAGCGATGAACCAGAGTGCCAATAGACGGACGAGCTTCAAACGTTGTTACTATCCAGACACAGGATTACACGAACGACGGGGGATCCCGCACGTGTTCGCTAAAGGTGTGAGAGCTGAAGATTTCGCTTCCGTAACATATTGCATCTGCATTATCAAGGTCTGTTTCCTAGGAACGAAGGCGGGTCATGTTGGCCTTGGGTAGAGCTCCGATGATTCTCGCATATGATCGCGGTGGGGCGGACTGATCTTTCCGAACGTACAGACGAGTCACCACCAGAGTCGCCGCACGTGCACACCCCTTGGCCATTTTCAATCCATGAAATCAAAAACGAAAGACGACGCATCTTCCTGAGGCATCCGGGCATTTTACCAGTTCCTGCTATCGCAAGCTGCCTACCACGACTACAACCACAAGCACGGAGAGCGTGGCAACAAGCTCCTCCAGCTCGGCCACCTCAACACCCTCGACGACCACGACGGCAGCCGCCCCTCAAGGCACGTGGTGCTTCAAAATAGCTGATGAAGCCAGTTGCATTTGCTGAGCCCAAGATGTCGTTTAAGGTGTGATGTCCAGCAGATACACGGAGACCGCGGACGCATACTGCTCCAATGCCATGGACGATGACGATCCATCCATCTTGTCCCGCTACGATTCGTTCGAAAACTGCTGGGAATACTGCGCGTCGGAGACCAGCTGTGCTGCATGCTTTCAGCCTTGCTTAGATGGAACAGGAGGCTTGGGACTTTGCTGATGCAGGAGAAATATAGTTACTTAATATAGTGAATACCCGGTGCACATCTATTGCTCCCCGTTAGGCGGCTGTATTGGCGCCCAGGGTATCTCGGCGTAGATAGCAGTTCGATTTGGTGTTCCAGGCGAGGACAATGCAGACCCTCGAAGACTCGAAGAAATCTGTGTCTCGTCCGGCTGAACCGAGGCTGCCAATATCTGGCCGTGTCCCTGTGCTCTGCCAAGACTGCAGATGGTTGCGGAGCCAGAATTTGGAGCGTCTTGGAGATTATGGGCTTCTCCGAGCTTGGGAAGTGAAGCCTCTTTCAAGCTTTTATGTACTGCCACTGCACTTTGCGGAAGCAGGGCATGAGCTCCTTACAGAAGGGTTTTGAGCGGCTTTGATTCCGAACAGGATCTTGAAGTGTCGACACCTCTGGATCACGCTGAATCATGCAGTTTGAACACTCTTGGCAAGGACGGTATGGAAGCTCTGGAGATCCGATGCTGGCAGTGCGCATTGTGCTCATTGTCGTGGGTGCGATCGTCTTGTTAGGCCGGAGAGAGAGCGAGAGGGAGGGATTCGCCTGTACTGCTGTAATCTTGTCTTGTTCGGTCTCAACCGTCGCGTGTGCGAATAACCCGTCCTTGAACAAATGCATGGGGGCTCTGCCGTCGACCGGAAAGTTGCAAACCCTAGACGTTGCCAGAGGGGCGCGGGGATGAGGCCAGGGGTGTTTCATGTTTAGTTTGGGCCAAGGATTGCAACTCAGCCCTAAGCCCGGCAGAAAGAAAGAGAGAGCGAGAGCACCTGCCGGGACCAGCAGGTGCGCGTGCGAGGAGGGAGTTACCACCTTCCTCCTCTGGCTTGGTAGAGAGAGACAGAGAGAGAGAGAGAGAGAGAGAGAGAGAGCGAGACCCCTAGCAAAGCAAAGCAAAGAGAGAGCGAGCGAGAGAGAGAGAGAGAGTGTCAGGGGGTGGGTGGGCGGGCCAATGGCCTGAGGGTCGAGTGATCGACCCCTACGCCCTGCAGAAAGAAAAAAAGGAGAGAGTGTCAAGATCTTTTTCAGGATTCATTTCTTTTCATGGTCTTCTACCAAGCCCACTAACAGGGGAGCACCTTTCGGTGCAAGGAGCTTCGCTCGCTCCCTGGACCCCGTGAGTGAAGTGAAGCATCGTGAAGTGAAGCTTCACGGCATGGCAGCAAATCCCTTTCCCCGCTGTTGGAACGGCGTTTTCACACCTCCCCACCACAGCAGAGCGAGAGAGCAGGAGGTCTATATTGTTGACGAATGTAAGCGGCAGCCGGTGTGCGTAGCTTTTGTGCTCAGTGGCTTTTCCTCACCATCCAGAGTCGGGGGGAAGCGTATGTCGACATGTTTTTTGGTTCATTTCTCCCCAAACTCTGGTTGTCGTGTCACAGTTCCCCCAAAGTTGACACCCAGTAGAGCCCGTCCGGCCAAAACGGTGGATTGGGTTGCGCTGACGCGCCTAGCTCTAAGCAAGCGGTTATATAGAGATTTCGCACATCAGAGTGACGTGATTTGTGTCCCTTATCGTACCCTTATATTAGCCCTTGTGGTAATCCTGGCAGTGATCCTTCATGTAAAGTAACCCCTATGGCAACCCTTCGCAAGCAGCCGCCGGACAGGTCTTATTGCAGCATACTGCAGCTTGGCTGATGTCCCTACGGAGTTTAGGTTTGAAGGCTTAGGGGAGTTTGCAAGAACGCCCAATATGGCTCGGCAAGGTCGACACCTTCCCAGGTTAAGCTAGATCCGGGTGAAGAGGATTCTGTCCGGAAAGCTCCCTTGCTCTGATAGTACCCGTTTCTCAGCCAAGTGACAAGCTGATGGAGATAATTGTTCTGTTAGGCTTCTGCACATCGCGAGCAAACGATCTACCCTGAAAGGGCGAAACATGAAAGATCGTAAGCAGACATGCTTGACTGGGCAAGGTACCAGGAGGCTGTCTAGGCTAAATAGGAAAAACCATACGAATGCCGCACCGCTTGCAGTGTATGTCAACGGGACTTGCTCTGGACCACAATCGCTCCGTAAACATGGCTTTTGTCACTATCCTTTAGAATGACAGTGGCTTGTTTCATTGCAGTAGCCTTCTGATGACAGCTCTTGTAGTCACCCTCCCAAAACCCCTGCAGCTGCAAAAAGAAGAAGCCCAAGAAGAACCGATCCGTAAATCCTACACCCTCACTCTCACCGAGGCTACTGGAAGCGGCAGCGGGCCGCTAGGCAGCGGCCCCTGATCCCGCCCAAGGCGGTTCCTCGGATGCAATCTTCCGGTCTATTTGGGTTTAGAGCTTGGCTTTTCGGTATTCACCATATGGGTAGTTGTCAAAATTAGGGTCCCTTGTTGGGTCCTTATTATAATACGGCACCTATTATTTAGGGTACCCCAAAAGGGACCATAATTTTGACAACTACCCATATACTTTTCTCCGGCTGGCTTGGCAGATGCTTTCACTCACCTTGGCCTTCCAGGTATCCCCGGCCGCGAGCCCCCCAGCCGACACTGTCGGGGTGCCAGCCGTGACCAAGGTGGCGGTGGGTTTAGAAAAGGGGAGCTGCTGACAGGTAACTTCCGAGCCTTGCGAGGCCGTGACCAGGGCCAAGAGCATCGCTCTCTCTAACGAGGAGGGCCAGGCGATGGACTCCACCACCAAGGAGATGTCATGAAGAGTCTGGGGCGATTCCCCGTATCTTTGCAAGTCCTGATCTATTGAATCGTGCTTTGCAGAGGAGTCCCTGCCCAGATATTGGGGCCACTCGGCAGCAGTCATGGCCCACATGGCACATCGCATTGAGCTTCCAAGGCCATGCTTCCGAGAGTACTGACTTCAATGCCATGCTCTACAGCAACGATGACCAGGTGGATCATTTCACGGAGCTCTTGAATTCCACCTACCGCGCGCGGTGCACACAAGACAGGCGCGTCTGTCGACACAGCTCTTGCTCCTTGTGTGAGGGAGCTGAGACGGAGAACAGGGCCCAGTGTTGCAGGCCTTGCCCGAAAGCAGTCTGCTCCAAGACGCCGGGGGGCTGCCCTTGCGTCCAGCCTGACGGTGATCCAGGCTAGGTGGCTCGTTGTGAAGCTCCGCACAATTCTTGTAATCACGCAGGCCTGCCGGCAAGTTATGTGGTGCGGCGCGTGATCCGTGTGGAAGACTCAAGGCGCACTGGGGACACGATGTTGGGATGACTGCAGGGTTTCAGTGCATGCATACCTCTGACATTCTATAGCACCAAGCTTAATCGTGCGCTGTGAGAGTCTCGCACGGACTGTTTGCCACTTCCATGCACCTTTGCCCGGCGCCTGCAAGCAGGATGTGGAAGCGCTTCATGAGGAAGCGGGACCAGATTCGGCGGAACAGATCCAGCTCCATTGAGCACGTAGAGCCACCGGTGTGTACGTCAGGACAGTGGGCTTACAGACCTCAGCACAACTCTCACAGCTGACATGCAAGTTCCATGCAAGCTGCAATGCAGCTCCCTGAATCGCAGGATTGGTGAAGGATCAACCGGGAACCTTCACTCCCTTGGATGAGGGCCTGAACGAATTTTACTTGTGGCACGGCACTCATGTTCGGGCAGCCCTGTCCATTGCGCACGAAGACTTCCGGATCGACATGGCTGGCACCAATGCGGGTACAATGTACGGAAGAGGCTGCTATTTGGCGGAAAACTGCACCCAAGCTGCATGAAAACTAGTTGGGGTGTTTCCTGCATGACATGGAGTCCCGAGGCACCAAAGCCGATGAGTATGCAAGGGACGAACCTCACGGTGTGCGCCTCAGGCATTTTCCAAGGAAGTGTGATAGGCCTCGATGTCAACGCCTCATCGACTTCCACTTTCTACTTGTAGCTTTGTGGGTAGTTGTGCCACTGGTGAGGCTACTACGAGGGGGTCTTTGCGCTGCTGCTCTGCCGCGTCTGCATGGGCAAGTTCCTGTACACAACGGATCGCTATGAAGCTGCAGGCAGCTGGAGCTGGGCAGTGCATTGTCGGGTCGTCTCCGTCGTCAACTATGAGTCTTAACAAATCCCCCTCTTGCAGATGTGCTTGTGCCGAATGGACGGTTGGAATGCAGAGATATCGCGAAATTACCTGCTGAACATGCAGCTACTTCATTGGAAGGCGACAAGGTCAAGTCGGGCGAGTTTGACAGCACCGTTGGTGACAGGCCGCCCGGGTGTGCTCTTTGTCCCTCTTTGTGCCTGCAGGGTCTGAGATCGTGATTCTTTTCTGCCTGCTTTGCATCTGATGTAATCCGTGATTTTCATGTTCTGGTTCTGGTAGTTGAACCTGCCGCTGCTCTTCGAACCTTCAGATTCCAAAAGACGAAGCAGAATCCAGAGGACCAAGAAGGCCAACACTTTCCGGGAGTTTGTGGTCTACAATGCGGACCAGGCGATTGTAGTCTGAGATGGACTCGAGGGCGTCACACGGACACCGTGAAGAAGCCTTGCTTCCCATGCCCATCCCGCAGGTCTACCCTGAGTACGTGGTCCTCTATTCTCGACGTCCGCGGGTCCGCGCCCGCCTTGCCTTAAAGCGCAGCTTCTTGTGAGAAGAGTGAGTGGGGGCTTCTGCCCGCAACCAGGCCGTGGCCCTGGAGACCTTCAAGTTCGAGTTGGGCGGAGCACGCATTCACGCCGAGCTTCCGGTGTAGCCCGGTCTCGCATTTGCCTCCTTGAGGAATCTCACAGGAATTTTATATCCCATGCCATGAGGGAGCCTTTTGCCGGCTCTTCGCCCTGTTTCTGGAATGCACCTCTCCACTGGAGTAGAGAGTGATAGTACAAGTATATCGATGCTCAGCAACCGTTTTCGGGGTGTGCTGAACGGTGCGTGGGCGTGTCGTACACGCTTGGAAGCGAAACAAACACGTGGCCTCAGAGAGATCTCATCTAATACTGTAACGTGCGCTCGCCGAGGTACTGGCAGCATTGTCACGTAAATCCAGGCGTCAATGCCTTCGAGGAGCCATGCTGACGGATCATCGCTTCTGATCTTCGCTTCAAGATTTTCTTGTCAGGCACAGTATGCTGTCCGTGCGACCTCCCGCACCTTGCTGCAGCAGCTGGCGCAGGGCTGCTTCCCAGGCCACGGATGCCAGCAGGGGCCCCACGCCTCCCTCAAGACGAAGTCACTAATCTGTCTTGACCCACAATCGACATGTCCACCACCTCTGCCTCGCAAAGCCATCGTTCTAGAGCTTTGGGGATCACAGCACTCCGAGCCCGTGATCATGAGTGGTCATTGACTTTGGGTTCTGGTTGTGCTTTGCACTTGCTGCAGGTGGTGCGGGTGGTGACGCCTTCATCAAGGCATGCATGGGTGGTAGCTGAAGAACGAAGAAGCAGGTAAACCATGGTCCAAGACATCAGCACTCTTCAGGCCCTTACCTTCAAGCGAACTGTTCCTGGCAGAGTTGACGAGTGCCCCGACAGCAGGTCATCTCTGCCCGACGCATCGAGATGTCCAGCATGTGGAACCGCTACGTGCAGTTCAAGCGCAGGACACGTGTGGGCCCAAATCTGCACAAGACCTCCCGGCATCCTGAAGCCACTTGCCCAACTTCCCGTCCACGGGCTCGAAGGTCGTGTCTGCACCTAGCGGCATGCCGTTAAACTCCGAAGAGTTGCCTTGAGCGTTCGGGGTGCGGATTTAAAGGGGCCCGACGACAGGATCCCAAGCCCCAACGTTCGAATCGTGCACATGCCGGCTCCTCACAATCCATCGGTTGGACCTTCCTCGCAGGCTTCGCCAGGAGCTGGAAGCGTCTGGGCTTGCTTCCTTCGCTTCTGCAGAGCTCCTAGAGGGCAAGGCCGCTGGCGCTTGAGGGTTTGGAACCCGCATTCAGGATGCACGAAGACAAGATAAGTTCATGTTTCGGAGTGCAGACCTGCACAGATCCCACATGCTCACTTGCCGCACATGCATCATGCATGATTCATGCGGATGTGTCGCCAGGCCACGCGTGGGGTGTCCTGGCATGCAGAACGATTCCACAAGTTTCATAATCTGCACGAGATTCGCAGTGCAGCTGGTTTGACTGACACGTGTATGCTCTTTCCGGGGTTCAAAACTTACAGGTAGGGGCAGGAATTCTGGCAGTGCTGCACCGGCGATTGCAGCAAGAGTCGTCAACAGCCCAGCCTGAGGAGATACTGACTTACTCTTACCTGAAGAACTTGACGGGTAAAGGAGCGCAAAGATCGCCGTCAGTTTCGGTCGTTGACACCGCGACGCGGATGCCCTGGCTCCATTGCAGGAGTTCAAGCTACCGGTACGATCTCCATCGACACCTTGGATGACAGTATCCAGGCCTGAGCCGCTATGTAAGCACGCTCGGTCGCATGCTGCGCCAATCCCGCATTCCTCGTGATTCGCTGCAGCGATCATTTGCCACAGGAGCACCTGCTTTGGCACGGAACGTCCAGGGCATCAGCGGAAGCAATCGTCTCTGCCGACTTTCGCATTCCCAAGGAACTGGGGTTTGGCATGTTGTGGTTCCGCTCTTTGTCTCATAGTGCTCTGGCCGTCTGCAGGATTTTCCGGAGTTTTTCTTATCTGTTCAGCATATGTACAATGAATATATGTCATATTGCGCTTGAGAGCTGCCTGGGCTGAGCAGGATGCCAAGCATGGCTTTCGTTTCGGAAGTGGCTTGTACTTTGCAGAAGACATCGGGAAAAGCCTGAGCTATGCTACTTGTCTGCATTGTTGCTTGACGCACCTGCTCGTGCGGATCCTGCCCTGGCTTGCGCCGTCGTGCCTTGCAAATCTCTTGCAAGCTGGTGCTGGGCAGCAGGCGTCGTGGCAGCTGCAGCACGTGTTTCTGCAAGTTTTTTCCGTGCAGCACGCCCAGGCTCCCTTGGAGAAGGGGTCAGACGGCGGAAGCAAGTCGCAGTTTGTGCACCCTGTTGGCAGCAGCTTTTCCACATGCCACTTCATAGTGCATGACCAGCAATGCGAGCCCCAGTTTGCCGGTCTCCCTGAGGCTCCTGTGCCGTGTACTCTGCGGGCAGATGCACTACACGGAGGGACAGGTTGATGGCAACGCATCGGCGAACGCCAAGCAGGTGGGGCAAGCCGTATACGTAGACCATGCCCAAATGTAGATGGGACAAAGCCACGGCATGATGCGAAACCAAACCTAGGGAACAGCCATGATCGCATGGAGCAGGCTGCAAGATGTTGACCAGTCAGGTGGGAAAGCACGCGGTGCTCGCCAATCCGCTGGCCGAGGGTCCAAGGGAGTTCATCGTCCTGACGGAGATGCAGGCAGAGTGGTTTTCCCCCCAAGCCATAGAGCAAATCTTTCTTGTACTCGAGGTCTACCCCGAGTACCTGGTGGAGGTGTCTGTGTCCAAGGCGGAGGGCACTTGAATGGAACTCTCTGATGCCGCGTGGCAGCAAGAAAGGGTCTTCGATCTGCTTGAGGCACCAGGCACCTGTACAGTGCCGAATCCATTGATGTGCTTTGGATTGTGTCTGGAAACAATCTGCATTTGGCTCGGCCGCGCCCCAGTGTGGCATCGTCCATCCAGACAACATCCGTTGCTCAATGCCTGCTAGAATCTGACCTTGTGGCTTTGCAAAAACACGTGCTAGTCGCCGCCTTGTCCAACAGCGCATTGCCGCTTTCTTCTCCAGTCGTCATCATCTTGCGTGGCAGTCCTCCTGAGCGAGCCCGGAGGAAGCCAAGACGAAAGCTCTGAACTCCCAGTCAGCCCCGAGTCGCCCCGAGACCCTATGTTTGCGCTTGAAGCCCCCGACGCTCATCTGCGGGCTCCCTCACTTGCGTTCCGGCTCCAAAGGAGCACAGACTGCGTAGTCAGGGACGTCGCAGGTGGACACAACGACCAGCGCGGTCTGATTTTTGTGGAGATGTGCAGACATGTGCAGACATGTGCAGGCTGTACAGGCGATGTCTCACTAGTTCACATCCACGGCGTGTAGCAGGCGCTCTTTGCCCCGGCGTAACTTAGATCTACCGTCTTGGGGATGGGGCTTCGTGAAATCAAGCCATCAACGAGATGGTGGATGCCCGGTTTAGTCTTCTCCAGGGATCCTGAGCTCTGGTGCCCGGCATGTCAGTCGGGGCGATGCAGACCATTCAAACAAGACTCTGGGGCTCTCTTAAAAATGAATAAATGAGGTCTAGGGGGAACATTATCATGATCAGGAGCCGATATTGGTTCAAGGGCTCAGGGAGCTGCCGGCGCTGCCACCGGCTGCCCCAAGGTGCTAGGCTGGTGGCGGGGCCTCCAAATTCGATGCATCCGCTCGAGGAGAACGGCAAGTGCTTCGCCCGATTCAAAGCTTGGACGAAGCTATGCTGTGCAGCGCTGTGCCAGTGCTTGCAGAGCAGATCAGAGTCAGGTGCAGGGCCATCTCGGCCACAGCATGCTAGTCATCACCTCTGGGCCCCGCATTCTTGTGCGCTGGTGCTGCTTCTGCGGCTCACAGCCTTCATTCGAGCTATCCCAAGCCAAGCCGCCGCAAGACTGCCAGGGACTTGGACCATTGCGTGCATGCATGGCGTGGGCGCAGGCATGCCGCAGCACGTAGGCACGGCACATGCAAAACACAGGTGGCCGACATGAGCGCAACGCAGAAACTCGATGCCTCTTGGCGGCAGGGAGTGTCCGGGGATGCTCCAGAATCGGAAGCTGCTTCTTTCCTGCCAGGCTGATGCCAAGGCTATGGCCACACCCGCGGACTCGAAGCAGGAAGTCAAGCCGGTGAAGGCGCGCCGGCGTACCTCAAGAGAGAGTGCCGCATGTGGTTGCATGATCGCGAAAGCCCCGCACGTGCTGTCCGAAGTCAGATGATCAGATCGAGCGTTGTCCTGCGCTGTCTTGATTGGAGGTCTCGAAGCCTCGGATTGACTGCATTGACGGCTGCCGCTTCGCATTGGTCTTCCCCATCGTCATTGCACACTTTGCGAGGTTCGCAAGGGTGGGTGGCACGGGCACAGCTGTGACAGACTTGCACGCATCGCTTGCTCATTCTTGAACCGTGCAGAGCATGCCCGCCTGAACTGTCCGCGCTCCTTGCTGCGTTCGTGTCAGGTTCGGCACCAGCAATCTGACGGCGCTGAAGCTGCTGACGCAGGAAAACGTGCTCGTGGGAGGCTTCTTCGTCATCTCAGGATATGCCGCGGTCCTAAGAATCGCCGACAGCAGACGCTCTGTTCGAGTCGTCGTTGCGAGTTGCGACCGAGGTGTCTGCTTACACCTCCACGAAGCTTGGCGAGCGGAAGGCGGAAGACAAGAAGCTGGCCAACCCCGAGCTCTTCTTCTGGCAGAGGGTCGACCTCTGAGCAAGTTGCATTGCAATGAGCAGCGGCGCGAAGCCTTGAGCAAGAAAGGTGATGGCGTACTATCCTTTGCACTTCGTGATTTCCTGCCTCTTCGCCCCGATGTTCATCCAGGTTGAGAGGCTGGGTAAGAAGTGCGCGCGCGCGTGCTGTCCTTGTGGCTGGGGCAGTCGGAGGTGGTACAACACTCCCTGGACCACGACCGCCTTCCGTGCCTTCCTGAACTTCAGCATGCTGCAGGCAGCCGTGCAGTGGCAAAGCTCCGCCGGGAAACGCTGGAGTCCCTTTGGCCAGGCTTGGTTCCCCAAGGAAGCAGAGATCTGGAATCAGCCCACCTGGTTCCGGACCCAGCAAAGGGGGCAACAGGTTTCTTGAGGCCGCTTCCTGCCACGAGCAGGTTCTTGTCGGCCCTGACGTTCTCGAACCTCACCATGCCGACGCTGGTGCTGCCGCAGGTTGCGCAGCTGTCCAAGAACGGCCCCTCGGACGATTTCGGAACGAGGTTTTGCAGGGCGTGTTTTGGGTGTTAACAATGGCAGTGGCAAGGCCTTCAGAAGCTCTTCGCTGCCTTGACTGGCATTTCGCTCCTGCAGAAGGCTTCGAGCTTTGAGAAGCAGCAGCCCTGGCGCAAGCTCGCACGCTGCAGGTCTCTTACTCGGAGACTGCCC